ATTTAAGAAGGAAACTACCGTTACTACGGAGTTATTTACGAATGCACTTCTTGTACTTGCTTACGAATTAATATCACATAAATGCATTATTCATGTGTAAATTAATTTCGATGTTCAAATAACCATCGTATTTTATTCGAGCTACTAAATGCTTTTAGAATTGACTTCAAAGCACACATTTTTCCTGAAATATTGGAATATTTCAAATTATCCTTACTCGCTAAGCTTTGTCAATCTGTATTAAGTATTCGTTTTCAGGGATCTACATAAGATGCATTATAAAATAAATAAAATGCTCTTAGTTCGTAATGCATGTAATAAATCCGAGATGGGGTGTAATATATGTGCTTCTTTTTTATCATTACTTCAAAGTGAACCTGTCAATTCGAAGGAGGAGCGCGTTACGCTTCAAAGAAAACTCATTCAGTCATGCGCAAATTCTTCATAAGAAACTTTCCTCCCATCTCCTACATATTAAACATCCTGGAACATTTTAGAAGTTTACTGTCGCATTTTCTCATAAATTTTAGTGTCACAAATAGCTCTAAAGACATAATTTGTAAATAACTTTTACTGGACAGGGTGGTCTCTATTGTACCGAATATAAAACTTTAACATGTATTATTGTAAGGAGACAATTACTACAATAAATAATTACACAATTCCCTGTTGAAATGTATTTAAACTTGTATAAGAAAAATGAATCTTTATTTGCATATTTTAATAGAATCTGACAATTTTATAAAGCCAGTAAAAATGTAAATTTCAACTATTTAGAGACTAAATACGACTGGTCGAGTTTATAAGCAAAAATTTACGATCAATCTTCCTTCACAATTATTTGCGATTAGCTAATTTTTATAATCAATAATTTGAATTATTCATGACCGATCATTCTTTATCGAATTTATTATAGTAGAAAATAAATCGTCATCTACATATTAATTTACATTGATCAGCGACTTTAATTTTTAATTAATTTAATTAACGTTATTTCTTTTTATTCCATCGCCACAGGCCGCTTCCTTATTCGTCGTTGCCATTTTTTTGCTTTGAATATTTTTCTTTTTGATCTAAACGGCGACCTTTTTTCAAATCTTATTGGTACATTTAATAAGTCTTTGCTTTGAAACAGTTTTCCTGAGCTTATTAGATACAAGGGGACAGGAATCGCATAAAAAGGGTTACATTTCTCAGAATGGTTCGAGTTAATATTATTCACCAAGTAAATTATGTTGATTTTGTATGTTTGTATATTCACAATTTACGAATATTTAGTTAATTGTATGGGTAAATTCTTTCGTCAACTTTTTAAGTTGATGTTCCCAAATTTCGCAAACTTTTAACAATAAAAAATTACATTTTAAAGTTTATTCTAGAAGGGAAAAATATTCTGCGAACCTTTGGAATTCGTACCCGAGTTTGAAAGTAAAAGTTTCATTTCAAAATCAAGTTGATATTGTAATTTGATTCTTACAGAATATTTTTTTATATTCTATCTAGTTTTATTATATCATTTTTAGCAATCTGTTTTCATATTTTATTCTCTTGACATTTATATAGCCCTCTGCTGGCGCTATTCTTAGAAATGGAACAATTAAATTGATGCACTTTAAATTTCCTTCCTCTGACTAATCATTAAACTATGTTTTAGTTTAGCAAAGATATTAGCTGAGCAGTCAGAAAAAAACACTTTTACTTTCAATTATCAAACGGTTTTTTGATGTATCATTCATATAATTATGGTTCCTAATGTATTCTATTTCCTACTACTTTTGGAATTTAACAGATTTCTATTATTAACTAAGTTTTGAGCAGCCTGCAATACTTCTTCACCTGTCAACATTAAAATGTTAATGATATTCACTATAAAATATATTGCCCATTGAACGGCAACCATCCTGTAAGCGGCGTTTGCCCTACCAGCGGGAAATCATTAGCTTTGGCTATTAAAAACGGAGATTTCTAATTTGAATAATTTTTTTGGACTTGATTCAAACTATTTTAAATTAACACGACTTATAGATGGCAATTTTAAATGACCGATGCTTGATAACCATCAAACATGCTTTATAATTTACGATACGGTTCTTACTCTTCTGAAGGGCTTCTTTAAACTTAACCGGTTCTTCCCTTTTGTATGCGTTAAAATATAAACCTTAATTAGCATTCAAAAGACAACGATAATGGAATAAAACTTGAACAAATTAACGCCTTTTAAGCTACTAAACTTAACGTCGTTAAATAAACAAGCAATTACCATAGTAGGGAAATGTTTGTTTTTAATATCAACAACAAAAATGTCAAACTTTATTTACTATTTAGTCAACTAAAAATAAAGCAAACAAACGTAAATCAATAGCCCTCTTAAATTATACACTACAGTAGCGGTTTTTTTTACATAAAATTTGGATAACTTACTGGTTCAGAATTATTTAATAGGACAAATATTAATAGTGCTTTCCAAACAACTATGCATAATAGATATTGATTCCGTTCAAAATAACGACATAAACATATAGGCAAATAATGTACCTAGTTAGTATAAAGAACTGAAAATGAAAAACATTCTTTTCCAATACGCGAGAGATCAAAAGAATCAGTCTTGAAATAAACGAGATTGCAACAAAACTAAAAGACAGAAGAGAAACGTTTAAGTAATTGGCATGTTATTAAAGTAAAAATGAACAAAACGGAAGATACGTACAATATAGGAAATACAAGGCGTTCGTTAATAATAAAGTGGATGTATTTATCTCATGCATGCAGTTTTAGAGGTACGAACAATATTCGCAGTATTTTGTAAGATCCAAATAAGTAACAGCAATTTGTATTTTATTACATCTATATTGAAATTTGAAATTATTTACCTACATTTCGAATAAAATTGGAAATTTCGTTAAGCTGTAAACGTAAGCGATAGTTTAAAATTTTATATTCCAATGTAACCATTTCAACACATTTCCATAAAGTATTGTCCATTAAATCCGGAATTTATGAACTAAAGCTTAGATGATTAAATCTTAGAAACATTTAAATTTTTAAACCACAATATTTTAGATAAAATATAGGATAGATATTCGATTCAATTTATTGACAGGTATTCAAATTTTTTATACATTTGTTATTCGAGTTTTCAGAGAGCTAATTTTTTCAACTCAACAATTTTGACTACAAAAAATTATATTTGGAAATATTTTTAACGTGGGTTTTAATACAATAATTTACCAAATAAACGTTCATTTCGTTTTAAAATTACAACAAGTTTGCATCAATGAATCTGGGTATAAAAGGATTTAATGTACTTTGTGGATGTTTTATTATTTCCCAACAACAATGCTGGAACATTATTTAGGTCATCATATTTTTAGCTTTCTGAATATGAAATAATCTTAATCTTTGACTGCTAGAAGGAATTAATTCGTAAACTTACAAATGGACATTGCTTAATATCTTTGGAATTTTTTAAAATGACAAGTTGGGGTCACGGTTAGAGATAATACCATCTGCTTCATGAATTTATTAGTATTATAAAATGCACGGTTATTAATTCCCGATTCAAATAATGTATGTCCCTTGTTACCGTGTTCACAATAAAATGAATGCAAAGGAAGTTGAAATGATTTCACTGGTATTTTCGTTCTTCTGTAATAAAAATAGATTTGATTAATGCCACTAAAACACGTTTTCACTAAGAAACCATATTTTAAAAATAAAATACTTACGTATTTTTCACATGTTCAATCATTTCACATGAATAAAAAATCTCGCAAGCACGAAATTTTCCATTCTTGTAATATAATTTTTACTTAAGACCATTATTATATTTGTTATTCATCAATACAGAAAACGTTTTTAAAGAAAACATTCTCTAATATTTACCATTATGCCAAGAATAAAGCCTGTTTTTCTTTTATCATGTTCAATGTAATTTGCCGAATACAAATTATAAGGAAAACCCGTTAAAACAGAAAACAAAAGATGCTGCATTAATCTTACTCTGAAAGAAGATAATTCAATTCCTTATATTACCTAAATAGAAAACTGCGGAGAACAATCTACAGGTACAACATAATGAAAATGTTTTTTCGTTTTTTACCATTTTGTTCCTACGCATTTCTGATCCGATTGATGATGATATTTCGTTCTTTTCCCAACAAGTTTTATTTTGTTTTTTAACTTAAACGGCATAGCATATTGAAGGGTAGCGTATTTTATCGGTTATAGTTTCGGTTAACTTTCTTCATTTTCCGAGTTTGTATCATATCGTTAAAAGCTTTGATTACATCAAAGGTGGAACATTGATATCCATCCAGCTATCGAACCCAATTAGCTAATTTTGAATTTCATAAAACAAACATGGTCAAACGTTAAGGTAATTAAAACCACTTACATAGATCGTGTAATATTAAGTGACCGTTAATATTCCAATCATATCCATTATTAATTAGTTTTTCTTTGAGTTTTATTGATTGGGTAATAAAATACGTTAGTATGTTTTTGATAAAGTCCCTGTAAGTCTAGTAGTATTTGTTATAGATAGGTACTTTAAATGATTGGTTGAGTGTTTTGTAGAAACCTTGTTTCCCATTTCGATTTTGATATTATGTTTACTTTCGGTTGTATAATAATATAAAATAACATCAATAGTTTGAAATGAAAACCATTGTTTAATTATTTGATACTAGATATGGTTATAACGATACACTAATGCTGGAGTTAGAGATATTAAGTTGACTCATATTGTTTGGAAAAGTATTCCATTTGAAATTAATCTTATTATTGTGACAATGTACTACAATGAGACAGGAATAACAGTATAGGTGACTTTGGTGAATTAAATTGATGTTTATTATTCGTACGTTTCGTCGAGTTGTTCCCGTTTTGTTATACGTTTAATAGTGTGTTATAAATTTATCTTCATTTTCAGGGATGAGGATCCGGAGAAGTGAGGCGGTGCACGGCTCCTCCTGCTTCAGGAGTATGCACTTGAAGTCTTCATGGTGATAAAAACCGTTCATGTTGGAACGGTGGGCAGCACCGTGGCAGGCATCTGGCTGCTGCTACTGGCGGGGCTGTGGGGGCGCGCTTCTGCAGGTATCCTGCTGGCGCAGTACCCCGGCCCCGACAATCTCCCTGAACGCTTTTGGCATATGGCCATCGATCAGAAAACTCAGAGAGTCTTCGTGGGCGGCACGAATCGCCTGCTGCAATTAGACGGCAACCTCCGATTGGAGCACATCGTCACAACCGGCCCCAAAAACGACAGTCCCTCGTGTCATGCCCTCGGATGCAACGATCCAACCATACCTCTATCTCTAATGGATAACTTTAATAAAATATTACTGATCGAACCTGAATCACGAACATTAATATCATGCGGGTCGCTATCGCAAGGTGCTTGTTTTAAATATAAATTAAGTAATATCTCCGCTGATCCGCAGTTTATTCCGAAAAGTATCGCAGCTAATGATGCGAACGCATCTACTTACGCTTACATCGGCCCTAAAAAGTATAACGTTTGGGGGCGCTCTAACATCTTGTATGTTGGAACAACGTTCACGAACAACGGTGATTTTCGCCATGACGTGCCGGCTATAGCGAGTCGTGATTTAGAAACGCTAGAAATCGCTGAATTGACATTTAGTAAACAGTCTCTGTTGAGTATTGACGTTAAATATAGAGATCATTTTATTGTACAGTACGTATACGGTTTTAATGCTAGTGAATACGCCTACTTTGTTATTGTTCAAAAACAGTCGCATTTGCCGGGCCAAGAGGAGCAAGGATACGTCTCGCGCCTTTCCAGGACTTGCATAAACGACGCTAATTACGATAGTTACACCGAAGTAACTATACAATGCGTCGACGGCGAGACGAAATACAACATCGTGCAAGACGCTAAAATCGCGTTCGCCAAAGAAGAATTAGCATCCGCCTTGGGTATAACGGTTGGTTCTCCGGTACTGGTAGCTATCTTTCGGCCGTCTAAGGGGATAACGAACGAGCCCCAGAACCATTCCGCGCTGTGCATGTACCCGTTGCGCGACATCGAAGGGAAATTCATCGAGAACATTCACATGTGCTTCAACGGCAGCGTCAAGTACCGCAACATGGGCTACGTCTCCGGGCCTATTTTGGACGGAAAGTGCCCTAGCAGCGGCTCCGCCGGGAACATTCCTAACTTCTGTGAAGTCGGTTTGAAGATCAGCGGCGTCACGCCGTTGGTAGGCGCGGCAGCTCTCACTTTCCCCAACATTTCTTTGTCGGCTGTAACAGTCGGATCGACGGGCAGGCACGTGTTGGCCTTCCTTGGAACGACAGACGGAAGGATCAAGAAAGTACTGCTGTCTGGTCCCGAACCGCCTGAGTACGAGGAAGTGTTCGTCGACGATGGTAATCCCATTTTACCTGATACCACGCTATCTCCAACCGGCGAATTCCTATACGTTTTGTCAACGGCTAAAGTAAGTAATTTTACTAGTTAATACAAGGATGAAACTTCTATATGCAATCTCCTCCATTTACAGGTTTCAAAAATCAACGTTGAACATTGCAGCACTTACACAAATTGCTCGTCTTGCCTGGAATCCAAAGATCCTTACTGCGGGTGGTGTTCGCTCGAAAAAAGGTATAGTTCAACGCAAATACTCGATACCGTAATTCACAAAGTATATTTCAGATGTACTGTTCGAGGGGCCTGTCAAAAGGCGTCCCACAGTCCACCGCGTTGGCTTTCGCTCGGCACGGGTCAGCAATGTATCGATTTCGAGCAAGTGTTCCCGGAGAGGATTCCAATCAATCAGATGACCAACGTGCGTTTGACGATCAGGACTCTCCCTGCCCTTCCTCCTGGTGCTAAATACAAGTGCGTATTCGGTAACGCCGAGCCCATCGATGCAGAGGTGACTGAAAACGGTTTGTACTGCTTCACGCCGGAAATATCCAAACGGCCGAGGATATCGCCTAAAATGGATCACGTGTTGGTGCCCTTGAGCGTGAGGTCTTCTGAAACCAATAAGGATTTCGTCTCCAGGAATTTTGCTTACTACGATTGCGGAAAGCACACTACTTGCGGGGAATGCGTGAAGTCCAAGTGGGCTTGCAACTGGTGTGTTTACGAAAACAAGTGCACTCATAATATATCAGTTTGCCAAAGGAACATTATTAGCGGGGAAAATGTAAGTTAATTTCACTAAAACATTTACAATCATGTGCAAAATTTTATCTCCTTTTCCAGAATCCGACGCATTTGCCCATGCACGGATTCGCTTTCTGTCCGCAATTCAAGAGAAAGAACGAAACCGTTTTGCTGCCCAACAACGTATTGAAGAAGATTGTTTTTGAGGTCAGGAACCTGCCCAATCCATCATCCGTTCACACCGGATTTCAGTGTATAATAGTCATAGAAGGTGCCACCATGCTAGTTCCGGCTACAGTAGAAGGCGAAAACGTAATCGTTTGTGACCAAACCACGGTAAGACCATTCATAAAATTCGGTTTAATTCGCCGTATATAATCTGCCGTTCAATAATAATGTAAATGAAGGTACACGTTATTAATTTTATTCTCACCTGTACCATACTGAATAAGCATATTCGGCTTCAAAATTTTGATAACACTACATATTGCAAGTAGTTATGCAAAACGGAGTTTAAAATTGTTTCATATTAAGGATATGAATTTTCTCTGTTTAGGCAAGCTAAATTTACTTAGTAATTTCTACAGAAGTTTTGCGCTTGTATTTTAATTATAATTTACCGATCCGCTCGGGCTGATCTTTGTATAAACACTTGTTTCAGTATTCCTACGAAGCTAATGAAGGAGAATACGAAGCGACGGTAAAAGTCGTGTGGAACAGAAACCATCACGTCGACTCCATGAACGTAACACTGTATAAATGTGATATCCTAGGCTCTCACCGGGAGCACGCCGATTGCTCTCTTTGCGTAACCAGAAACTCGAAATACAACTGCACTTGGTGCGGCAATTCGTGCCAGTACTCCGAATCCTGTCAACATACACCCCATATCGAATGCCCGAAACCTAGAATCGACATGATAAAACCATTGAGCGGGCCCATCGAAGGAGGTACGTTAGTCACGATCGAGGGCAGCAATTTGGGATTAAAGAAAGAGGACGTTCAAGGGAAAATTAAAATAGGTCAAATACCTTGCGTGCTGGTGACTTACGACGTGTCCGTGCGCATTCAATGCGTTACGGGGCCCTCGAAAATCGAGATGATAGCGCCGATACGGGTCGGAAACGAAGCCGGTTATACAACGTCTTCGGTCGAGTTTAGTTACAAGGATATAAGGCTATCGGGGATATTCCCGCCGATGGGGCCCCAATCCGGAGGTACTCAACTCGCGATTACCGGGCAATACCTGAACGTTGGTTCGGAAATCATGGCGTATTTAGACGATTATGTTTGCCAAGTTAATTTAACGCAAGCCTCTAGTGGGAGATTAACTTGCATTACGTCCAGAGCTCATCGACCTGTCATGGTTTCTCGATTAACTCTGAGTATCGATGGGGCCAATCGCACCCTAGACGGCAATCCCTTCAACTACACTCTAGATCCCACCATAATGGAAATCAAACCGTTGAACAGTTTCGTGTCCGGTGGAAAGATGATATTCGTACACGGTACGAATTTAGATAGTATACAGAAGCCTGAAATGGAAGTTTATGCGTTAGACGATTCCAAGGCTCCGATTAACAGGACCATGTGCACCGTCTTAAGCAGTACTCAGATGGAATGTCCGAGTCCTCCTGTGAACAAACAATTCAGCATTTACAGCAGCAGAAGGCCCAGGTCGCTAGGAAAACCAGCAGCTATTAAGGTCAGTTCGAAAATTTCCCACTAATTCCTTTGAAATTTATTCGTCGCGTTTGCAGATGAAAGAACCGAAACTAAACTTAAGGATAGGCTTTCTTATGGACAACGTGCAATCGGTCAGAGATTTGGAGAAGCATTTTCCGAATCTCAGAACGCAATTATTATACGTGGAAGATCCGAACTTCTTCCAATTTCCGAATCAAATAAAGTTGTATCAGGGTGATAGACTTGTGATAGAAGGTGAAAATTTGAACGCGGCTAGTGAAGAGTCCGATGTTGTGGTGACCATCGGCACGAAATCCTGCAATGTTACTGGTTTGGCAATGGTCCAGCTCGTGTGCGTTCCACCCGAACACCAACCTTTAGGATCCGACGAAAATGGCTTTAAGGTATTATTAAACAATTACTCAAAGTCTTATCTTTCTTCCTATATTATTTTATAATGATGGGGAAGGTTAGATGAGTATAAAGGATTAAAAAGTAAGTGTATGTACACTAGTAATTAACATTTTATTATTATTTTAGACTGAAAATAACCTTCCATTAGTAGTAGTTAGAGTAGGAAGAAGTTTAAGATTCCCAATTGGATATTTGCAATACGATATATTCAAAACGTTTACGTTTCCACCGGAGGCCATTATAATGATAGCTGTCGGGACGATATTATTCGTTTTGTTCTTTATCGCCGTGTTAATTGTTTATCGAAGGAAATCCACTCAGGCCGAGAGGGAGTATAAAAGGATACAAATCCAAATGGACACGTTAGAAAGCAATGTTAGATCTGAATGTAAACTAGGTAAATTTTTTAATATACGAACTTTTGCTATATTTCTGAATTAATCTAATTTACTGTTTTATTGCATTGTAGTTTGCTTGCTTTTATTTATTTTTCATTTTAATTTTGATCTAGGTATTCATATGCTTTTAGCATTCGCCGAACTGCAAACCGATATGACTGATCTCACTGCCGATTTGGAAAATTCCGGTATTCCCACCCTGGATCACACCAGTTACATTATGAAAGTATTCTTTCCCGGAGTCAGCGATCATCCTATCCTCAACGCACCTAAGGTAAATATTATACTTGAGCAAATAACAAAAGATCGCAGGGACAAGCAATGATTCTTCTATTTGTAATTTTAGGCCCGATTAAATGGCCCGAGAACAAATTACGACACAGCCATGTTGCAATTCGAGCAATTAATTAATAATAAATATTTTGTACTCACATTTATCGAGATATTAGAGTCACAGAAGTCGTTTAATATTAGAAATAAGTAAGTAAAAGAGCTCCTTAGCGACAAAACGTGTTATTAATAACCGGCGTTATTTTTTTAGAGTAAACGTAGCGTCCTTACTGATGGTAGTTTTAATGAGTAAAATGGAATACGCTACCGATATTCTTAAGTGTTTATTATTGCGTCTAATAGATAAGTCTGTGAACACGAAGCATCCGCAGTTAATGTTAAGGCGAACCGAAAGCGTCGTGGAGAAGATGCTAACAAACTGGATGGCCCTTTGCATGTACCATTATCTCAAAGAATATGCAGGCTCGTCCCTTTTCCTCCTATTCAAAGCCATCAAACATCAAATTGAAAAGGGCCTAGTTGACGCTATAACACACGACGCCCGGTATTCCTTATCGGAGGAAAGGCTTCTCAGAGAAAACGTCGAATACAGTGTTGTGGTAAGTAAATATCAAACGAAACTCTTCGAAAATATGGCTCGTGGTTTAATTTTACAGACTCTACATATAGTTCAAGATGATCTAGACGAGAAAATCCAATGCAAAGTTTTGGATTGCGACACAATCAGTCAAGTGAAATCGAAGATTTTAGATGCATTGTTCAAAAACACTCCATTTTCATTAAGGCCTTCCATCTACGAAGTGGATTTGGAATGGAGGCACGGTCGAGGCGGTCATTTAACATTGCAAGATGAGGATCTGACGACCAAAACGCTCGGCGGTTGGAAAAAATTGAACACTCTAGCTCACTACGGAGTAAAGGAGAGCGCTGTCATGTCTCTGATTTCCAGGCAAAACGACAGCTTCAACAACTGCAAACAGCCCTGCCACAATTGCGTCACGGGCATGTACCTCAACAATTCCCAATCGCCCATCATAGCCACCAATGGCGACGTGGAAGCCGGAAACAACCCCAGGATATATCATCTAGTCAAACCCATTGATGACCATCAATTTCCCAGCAACAAATCGGAGAGGACGCACAAAGCTATCCCGGAAATATTCCTGACGAGGCTGCTGTCGACTAAAGGCACGATACAGAAGTTCGTCGATGATTTCTTCCTGACGATTCTAACCGTTAACGAAGCTCTGCCGCCGGCTGTAAAATGGCTGTTCGATTTGTTAGACGACGCCGCCAGGAAGCATTGCATCCAAGATCCGGAAGTAGTGCACGCATGGAAATCAAATAGTCTTCCTTTGAGATTCTGGGTGAATTTTATTAAAAATCCCGATTTCATATTCGACATCAATAAAACCTCCACGCTCGATTCGTGTTTGTCTGTCATTGCGCAGACTTTCATGGATTCCTGTTCCACCACCGAACACAGACTAGGCAAGGATTCCCCGTCTAACAAACTACTCTTCGCTAAGGTGAACATTTTCACAACGCATAGGCGTTATTTACTAATTTTTAATTCGATTCTTAGGATATTCCGAGATACAGGGAGATGGTGTCACAATTTTATAGCGACGTGGCGATGTTACCAGTGATAACAGACCAGGAAATGGGTTCGGCTATGCAACAGTTATCCGCACAACAAGCTGAAGAATTCGACACGATAGCCGCTTTAAAAGAACTTTACATATACGTCACTACATACAGTGATCAGGTAAGTCCAAATCTACTTGAGGCCTGTTTCATAAATGTGACAAGTTACAAGAAGACAAGTTACAAGTAGACAAGTTACAAGTAGACTAGTTACAAGTAGGCATGTTACAAGAAGACAAGTATATAAGTTACAAGTGTTGGTTGACAAGTATTTAAATATTTAGCTTCATAAAATAAATTTTAATGCTTCGGAAATTGTTATTTGGAAATGTGTGTACAAGTTACAAGTAGACAAAAGTTACTGGTAGACAAGATACAAGTGTTTAGATATTTAGTTTTATAATACATTTGTCTGATTATTTATCGTAGATAATTTGTAAATTTCAAGAAAAGATTAGGATGAAAGAAATGGACGCATTTTATTTCATTTCATAAATATTCAAAACACAAACCAGACCAATGCTTATTATTTATGTAAAACAGGCCGGTGGCTCGATAAGATATTATATATTAATTTGTTTTAATTTTAGATCATTGAGGCACTTCATACAGACCCGAATTGCCGGCGTTTGCACCTGGCGTCGAAACTGGAGAACGTCGCCTTTACATTAGGGGGGGACGAGAACGCGACGTGCTGACCTCAACGGTCACCTGATCCTCTGCTGCCTAGAACCTTGGCGCCCTGATTTCAAGCGTAAGTTCACACACATGCTTTTCGCTAAACCGTCAAATACAAGTCAATTCTCGAAGGTTTGTGCTGCCGTCTTAATGTTGAAAAGCGTTTATTTTTTTAATGAAACTTTACTAAGCTTGCGATTAAGTTTAGAGGATTTTTAACGCTTCAAAGTTCCTATACGTTTAAGCTAAGTTACATTGTGTACCTAAATAACGTGAATTATAAACGCGAATTATTAGATGTATTGCAATTATATGGTTTATTCAAAATTTATAATCGAATAGTCATCTACTGTAAAATCATTCTAACTTTGGCCGATCCATTTTGATGTAGTGTGCTAATTTGCTGTTATTATAATTTTATCACATAAATTTTTCATAGTTAAACAACTTTATTCTACATAGGTATTTATTTATTTATTTTATTGTAAAATTTAAGTTAATTGTTTGAGTTCAAGTGCTACTTAAATACAGTAACTACACCCCTGCTCAAAATTAACGCAAAATATGACGCATTCATTTTAAGCAGGAGTTCATTAAGCTCTCTCTGACTTTACAGTAAGTTAACTTTAGGTAAGGAACAACTCAAATAATTAAAACACATTAAAAATATACTGAGAAATTTATTTGATAAGAAACCATTTAACGTGTTAGATTAGTGTTGTTGTGTTAAAATAATGAAAAAATTATTAATAGAGCAGGTTATAGAGAAAAGCATGTTTGCGTTTTTGAGCGTGTTATTCTGTGATATGGCGCATGATCAGGTGACTGTGATTCGAGTGCGTACTTACCCTCCAGCGGCTGCTAGTTTCCTTTCCGAGTGCCTCGCTACGCTGATGGGACGTGACAAGGACAGTGTTTAATCGCAAATAGCGCCCAAATATAGCGCACTTTTATAGTTTAAGGGTGATACCACTTCATGTCGTTCGCTCAGAGTTGCTTTGGGGGTTTATTATACGCGGGATCGTTTAGTAGTATGAATGAAAGTGATCCGTGTCTGTTTTACTTTCCTTCGTGCAGCTCTGTGCTCGCATTAACGCAATTGTACTTTAACTTACTCCCTCTAAATTTCGATTTTATTTTAAATGAATGTTTCTGAATGAACTAGTAAATACTTAGTTGTTAATTTACAGTTTCGTTAGTGATATTAACTAATGTGTAGATGGTATTATCCATAAATTCGTTTCTGTTCGGTCCGGTTAGCCTAGTTAAGTAGAAATTATAAAATATATTTTCGACATGCATACGACTGACCTACATAATTTTCCAATTATGATATTAGTTTGTTTTAAAGTGCTAATTTTAAAAAATATTTCACTTAAAGTAATTTTACTTTTAAAGTATCGTAAATACTCCATTATGAGACTGTTAAATTTTTACGAGGATCTCTTAACCATAACATATTAAATAATTATGAATCTCATTTTTATAATTTTTGTACATTCGAAGATTATGTCAGTCGTTTACATGAAATAATAGTGATCTATGCCGGAACTTATATAACGTGGAATAGTCTTCGAGTCCAGTGATTTGTATGTTACTATTTTAATTCTGTTTAATATAAAATAATGCATTGTATCTTAATATTTTTTTGTAAATATAAATTGTGCATATAGATTATTAACGGATTTATAAAAATGTTTATACTATACTTAGGCGTACATTCATCGATAATATCAGATGTTTCGAAAGTTTTTTACAAATTTCATACAGGCAGCATATTAGTATTGAATAATCAACAACCTCTTATCTTATTAGATTAATTTTTATTTAAGAATTAGTACATACTTAAAAGTCATTGAGGATTGTGAGATTTGATGAAACGTGTAAAAAATCGATTACATTTGATAATATTATTAGATTGTGTTAGGTATAATTTTTTATTGTAAACAATTTTTACAAATCTTATACATGTAGGATTGCTTATTTATAATGTGACTACCAAAAAAAAAATAATACCAATACTATTTTTATTGAAATCAATCTTTTTAAATTTGAGATATTTTAATAGCATCACATTGTAAATGACCTTTGAAAAATTTTTTAATTAAAATATGGATGTCTCAATTTTGAAATTTAATAATACAAAATGTTAGTGAAAAAAATACAGTTATTTATATGCATTTTTGTTCCTTTAAAAATTCTATTTTTACTTCAATATTCCATAATTTTATTGTATTATATATTTCTTTCAAGCAGCTTAAGATCGTTTTTTATACTTTTGGTAATGTGATCGTGAATTAAAGCTTTTTATATAAAAGTGTATTGTTTAGTGATATTTTTTTACTCTATTAAACATGTATTCCATATTTATTTGTTATACTTTCTTTATTTCCAATACCTTGTTTCTTGTGAATTAACAATAAACATATATAATAAATTGTTTATTTAAATATAATTATAAGTAGATAAATTTCGTCTAACATATGTACATGCTAGTTAACTTGTCAAATAAGAATACACAGAGAAGTATTTAACTCCGGAAATTTACAAAATTAGAACACAAAAAATGGCAGAAACATAAAAAAGTAATACTTATGTAAACCAAATGAAACCTTATTAAACAAAAACCCTTATCTGTATGAAGTAAAAAAAAGCTAGGCTATTTTTAAAAGGCAATATGTTCCCAGAGTTCAAATATAACAAATATGCCATAAATGGTTGCAGAAAAATATATATTCGTTTTTTATAGACAAATTCAATTATAGTAATTTTAAACTACCACCAATAAAATAACAAATGGGACGGCTAAAAAATGGAATCACAAATTGTAGAAATAAAATAAATTTACTTAAACTCTAATAAGATTGGTCCTTGGGGTTCGTTTGTCTGCGTCGCTTACAATTGGGATTTCATGAAAGGTTTTAAATACGACTTGAACGACTTATTAACGGGCTCTGCATTCAACGGACTTTTCTGCGCTTCTTCCAAGAGCCTTTCATAAACATTACCATCGTAAGATCCAAGGGCGGACGATAATACTTCATCTCTGAAATCAAATGCATCCACAATCCCCACAGCATTTGGTCTCAAAAGTGTAAGTAATTCTTCCAGCCAAGATTGCAACATTTCAACATCCCTTCCTTGGATGTCTGTGAACTAAAATCAAAAATTTTATTTTGTTCGCAGATATTTACGAATGTTTTAAATTACCCTTAAGAAATCTCCTGAGCATCGGATAGCTGTGCTAACAGCATAAAGTTGAAGAAGCTGTTCCAAGACGGCGAACAATTCTTTCGAAACTTTAGGTCTCGCCATTTCCACGGCATTTTTGAATGTTTCCACTATAATTACTCGGCCATGTAATTCTGCTGCTCGCACCAACTCGATCGAGGTGCTGTTCCAGGCATCTTCGTACACCATTCCTTTACGTTGTCTTTCATTTATATGGCTATTGGCTAAATCGACCATTCTAAAATAATTATAAGATTAATGTGAATATAAAAAGAAACCTTCATAATTACTTTGCTGTAGTTTGTTGTAAGATTGAAAGTATCCAATCAACAGATTTTTGGAATGGTAATGATTTTCTTGCCACTTGCTCAAAATATCTAATAGTTGTCAGATTTTGCAGTTTGGTTTTGTTTTGCCAGCATTTTATCAGAAACCTCGCAGTTTGCAAGAAAAGTACGGTGTTCTCGCCTTCATATGTAACCATAGCAGTAACTAATCCGTACGTTGAAGGCAAATTTGAAGCAGTCATATAACCATGACCCCCGCATGACAACCTAAGAGTTTCAACCCCTTGAGCTGCATCGCTGGTCGATACCGCTTTCAGAACGCACGCAGCTGCGTGCAGCTACAAATCAAATTAGTAATCCTTAGATTCTCTCGCTCTAAGATAAACTTACCTCAGGTAGATTGTCTAGTTGGCCAGTTTCTAATTCTCCAGTGACGTTGTTGTATGTATCCCAGAGCCAGTTCGCAGCGTATTGGAACGCGAAGCAAGCTGCTATATTGGGGAACAGTTTGTACTGCTGCGTTAAATAATCCATTATCTGCGGCTCGGGTTGGCTAATAACAAAAAGACGTGGAATTATGATGCTGAAAACCATGTAAAAACTTACTCTGGTCGAATTTTTGATTGATGCCTAACAGCACTGTACCGCGTGGCAATTGTGCAAGCTTTCTTTAGATAAGTAGCCGCATCCTGTACGAGAACTACTCTTACAAAAATCATGGTACCGTATGTTAATTTACTACTAGGCGATTGGACGTAAGTACCATCCTGAAAAAAATAATTCAATAAATCTCATTTATATTTTAACAGATAGAGAATGTGTACGTACAGGTAGCACTTGGGAGTTCTTCATCAACATATTAATCCTGGGAATTCTGACGTTTTCAAAACCTAAATAACCATTGTTAGTGGCGTTCATGCCTAATTTACAACCGATTTCTCCAATTTTTATGCCTTGGAGCGGCATGTGCGTCTCTTCATCTCGAAGTTGTACTATAAAAGGGTGGATCCCGTGGTTTACCCCTTTAGTGTGTAATTGGGCGACAACGACAGCGTAATTAGCAGAATGACCCACTGGAATTATTAAAAATAATTGGAAATAGTACATAGTAGGTTATATCAAACATACATCCTCCTGGCCACCATTTGTACGATGTTATAGTTGGACTGTTTAAGACAAATTCTTCCGTTTTCGGATCGTAAGTAGCGATAGTTTCAAGGCCTCTGATGAATGTGCCATGACCTAATTCAGTCTGTAATAAAGTATTAATAAGAGAAATTAATTTAGAGGCTTTAAAAAAGTATTCGCACTTGTGCATAAGTTCCGATGATATCGCAATTCCAAGCCCTCTGTATCCATTCTGCTTGTTGCTGGATAGTACCTTGTCCCATAAGGGTTGGAATGAACATCACATAATGGACAGTTAAGGGATTGCCATCTTTTAAAATTGCAGATCCTAGTTGTCCACCAAGTATTTCTCTAAAAAGAAATATTTTATAGGCTTACGTAGTAAATTGTTTATTTAAATTTTTGTTCGTGGGAAATTGTGTAATTATGCTTTCATCGAATTCACGTAAGTGCGTCAAACTCGAATGCAGTGATTGATTAATGCACAATTATGTGCATTATTTTAATACCTTCATTTATTAACAGATTATACCTATAAACATACTATAGGATAACTATTATAATATGTTATTGGTAATGTTATACTATAATTTGAAGTAAAGCAAGTGACGATTTGTACTTTGTGTTTACCATTAATTAATCTCAATTAAATTGTTTGTACCTGAAATTTTCCATCCCACCTTTGCCTGCATTCTGAAGTTCTTGAACTTTTTTAAAAACAATACACGCTTTTCTAACAGCCTCCTCATATTTCTCTTTGTGACCCAAATATTCTGGAGGAACGTTGGATCTTAATTCAGGGTCTTCCAAGAAGAAATTTTCTACAATAAACAACATTTTTGGTATTGAATTATAATTAATATATTTCGTTATTTACCTCTACTGTGCCTTTCCTCAGTTTTATCTGCACCACCATCTAATAAATGCGTTAATTCCAATCTGTCGAACGTACATTTATTCCTTTCTCTAAGAAGGTCAGGATTAACTTTCTTCAAATTAGTTGATGCCATATTTAAAAACAATTGCAGTTAATATAATATCACAATGCTTGTTATTCCGCTTATGTTATATCACAACTTAATACATTGCTCATGGATTAATTTATAAACTAAAGTACTGCTACAATGCGATGTAACAAGTACCACTTTTATTTATCAATTGCCAGCAGGTCAATGATCATAGTCCATCAGTCCACCATAACCTCACCTCTGCACCTCATCGCCTCATCCATCCCAATGCAATGTTGTAATGTTGTTACTAATTTCTACAAATAATCTGAATCGAATTGGTGAAGTGGGGCATATTCATTACATCTCGTTTGCCAAATTGGTACGTCAAATGACCCCACTCACCCACTTTTAGTAACTTAAAATTTAGAGAATTTTTCATTTTAAAAGAAAAGAGATAGAAGTAAAGTATCTAAATTTGACTCTGACAGCAGTCACATATTAATATTTTAGATTTCAAAGATAAACCAAATGATTTTCGTACAATTACAAAGCTATTGATGATATATTTTACTATATTAAATTTACAAATAACAATTTATTTAGATAATTTAATATCATACGTAAATTATTTTAATAATGACAAATGGAAACAAAGTGACATTTGACATTTAGATAATAAAAAGACATTTTTGACGTGTGTCAAACAAAGACGCAACTATTTTTTATCTACTAAATCTACTCTTTCTATACAAATTTTTCGATTCCAATTTCATAATTACGTATAGTAAATTAAAAAAATACTCGTTAATTAATTAATGACTTCATTGAATTAAATATAAATATCTCATGCACAACATCACAGAACATAAAATAGTAATAGAGCAGTAGAGCACGCTTGCGCACATGCAGAGCGTTTGCGTGCACATAACTGGTGTAAATATGGCGTCACAAGAGGACGATAACAAACTAGAGTGTTTTTCAAACGTAAACAAACAGCATGAAAGATACTTCTTAAATGTTTATAAGGTGAAATTACAATTATCGTGCTTATAGTTATTTAGTTGATATAATTTTTCGCATGTTTATTGTGACGACAGTGTAGTTTCTCATTCGCATGGCCGCCATGTTTCATCTGTGATTTGTACAGAAAATTGAAG